TGCAGGAAAAATACCCTCACCATGCATGTTTTCCGGTTAAGAAGATGAATAAGAACAAGCAGCTATATTCAACGGTTAATATTAATTTCTTATTTTCGTGCCTTCTTTAATTCGATTAAGAAAAAGGTTTAACAAAACAAAAAAAAAAAGAAAAAAAGAAGAGTGAGTGAGAGAGAAGTTGATAAGAGATGAGTTGCGCCACCACACGTCCATCAAATTTTATGTTTCCATGTGAGTGAATGTCCGCCAACAAACATTCACGTTGAGCCAATCTTTTCTTTTGGTTGGGACTAGGGTTTTGCTTCGTTAATTTCGCACCATATCAAAATTTTACTAAACCCTAACCCTAGTTGTTCTCGTAAATTTATTGCGTTTGTCTATTAGTGAATTTCTAATTAATTAATGGTGGCAGTAGCTTCTAATATTCAATAATTTGCTTCCTATGGTTCATGTTTTGCAAGCAAAGTGCCAGTACTCACTCTAGCTATCGCACAAGGAATAGCGAAACACGAACGTGGAAAGTAAACAAATCAATTGATCGCCAACCTAGCACGCAGAATGGCGGTGGTCAACTTCTCGCACTTGATTCTTCAAGACGATTTCTATGCAGAAAGACTTAATTGCCCTTGACGGCTACAGTATTCTTTGTTGTTATTATGGGAGGCCGCCTACAACTGTAACATTGGACATGAATCGGATGCTCACACCTTCATGGGGTTTGTTTTTTCAACTCCCACAACATCTCAGAGTTCTCACTCGACTTCTCTTTGCTGGTCGCAATTTATCTTCGCAAAAAATAGACCGTTTCCAATATTTTATTCTTGGATTCATTCTCCACTTCGCCTTACGCTTCTTAACACCATTATAAATAGGCACCCCACCTGTTCTCTTTCAAATCACTCTCTTGCTCTAGTTCAGCTCCTTTTTAAGCCCTGGCATCTTGCAAGTTTATTAACACCTCGCTTGGTTTAACTACTTATCTTTAGCTTCACATCATGGGAGGAAGCTCACCCTGTGCTTCCTGCAAATTGTTGCGGCGTCGCTGCGCCAAAGACTGCATTTTTGCACCCTATTTTCCTCCTGATGATCCTCATAAGTTTGCCATTGTCCACAAGGTTTTCGGCGCTAGCAACGTCAGCAAGATGTTGCAGGTTTCTCCTCCTCCTCCTTCTTCTTCTTCTCAGGCTCGTATCTATATATGTGTGCCAATGCTTCCCTACTTCGTAGTGTAGGAAACCAGGAGGTTAAGGGTTCAAATTTTGATCATATATACTCGCGTCTGAACAAGTATATCCGTGTGAACATTTTTGCACTTAATTCATTTGTGCCTGATATTTTCTTCAATTAATTTTATTTGTGTCCATCCTTTCTTCAGGAGCTTCCTGTTCAGCAGCGAGCAGATGCAGTAGGCAGTCTAGTATATGAAGCAAATGCAAGAATGAGAGACCCAGTCTACGGGTGCGTAGGTGCTATCTCCTATCTGCAGAATCAAGTTTCCCAGTTACAAATGCAGTTAGCAGTGGCTCAAGCAGAGATACTGTGTATCCAGATGCAGCAACAGGAGCCTGCAGCCTTGCCAACTCAACTGGACGTCCCGGATGAGAAGTCGCTTCTCTTATCCACTAGCACCTTCAATAACCTACAACCGTATCTCAGCTTTGCTTCTTCTAGCACTGTAATGCAAGACCCTCTTAAGAGGGAGTCTCTTTGGACATAACGATGTTTTATGTACTAATCTAACTACTTAGTGGTTAGTAATGAAAGTGCTTTAAGTGTTTTAACTTGTTTCTTCCTCGTATCTATTAAGGGTTTGTGGCATCATGGTTTTGTTGATGATTGCACCATCAGAGACAGAAGGATATAACGCACTGAAAAGTATCAAAACTAATCCAGCTTCGTGCATCAAGAAGATGGAATTTTTCTCAGCACTATTTTAATAGCTTCTAATATGCTTATCGAAAGAAGACAAGGGAAAAATGTTATGAAAATCCTATATATGCATCAAAATAAAGTAGTTGGTCAACGCTGCCATGTGAAGTGGAGTAGGAGTGAAGTAGGGTTAATATTTGCTTCATGAATCTTCTAAAGCAACTGCAGTATGGCAGGATGTTCTTCTCAAGATCTCCCTTCTCCCTCTGGTCTTACATATTGATCAATAATCAAGATGTTGCTTGTCTAATGTAGCACGATATTACTGCAATACAGTTTACCCGCTACTGTTAGTTTAACTGTAAAATGAAGTCTAATCAAATCTTGCTTAACTCATTCGGTTGGTTTCTCTCACAATAGAGGAAAGTTCATAAGCTTAACCAAGCAGTTACGTGCAAGTCGCAATTAAATTTCAAGGATATAATATAGAAATCCAATTATCTTTAAGCTTGCGGCTCTGGTTGAGAATGGGCCTGGAAATCTAGAAGGTGTTCCATCTATTGTCAAGCAAAGAAGCCAGAATATTATTTCCTTGACTGTTATCTGGGAATTAACAAGTATGATGCGTCGCTCTTTTACTCCCTAAACTGCACAAGTTTTATCATCTATTGCTCGTCTCCATGAAATTTTAATGGCCTATACACCTAATACGCGTCTCGTCCTCTAGGTTCTGTGCTTTTCTTTCTTTTCCCTGAGCTTATAGTCATATAAAACAAAAGTAGCTGAATTCTGGATTTCCCATGTCTAGAAGGTAACTGATGTTCAAAGGAATGTAAGTTTGTTTTTTGGAAGCACTGCCTCGAGCCCTCAAAAATGCAGAAAGCTAAAATCAGAATAACAATCGAAACTGACTAACGGCCGGGATAATGGTTTGCCTTGTAATCTGGATTCGTATTGACTTTTAAACTATAATCTTGTATTATATGCTGCCCCTTTTACCTTTTCAAGCTTAGTCGTGTCCAATCTATATAGTTACTATCATACTATCTCATGAAGTCCAAATAAGGTGAGGGCGGTGCATGAACTGAATCCAAGATAAGTCATTTTCTGAAAGACTTTTTTGCATGTGGAGTAGTGTTTATATTATTTCCTCCATTGTCACTCGTGAAAAAGAAAAAATGGCTTAATCTGTGACTGAACAATAGGACCAAAAGAAGAATGAATACAGATAGAAACCACTAAAAGAGGCCACTTGATTAGATCACTTATTATGGTCGATTGCGATGCATCGCATACTAGTTTACTACCAATCTTAAGTGGGAGAAGGGGCGACTTGACTTCAGCCAATTATGCAGAGGTTTAAAGATCAATGTGAGGTTTCGGCATTTATTTGATGGCGACGGCTAGAATGCTTTCCAATCTCCAATTATTTGAAGCACGCTCTCGAAACTTATAATGCCTCTGCCTTCAAACCCAATCAGAAAAGACACCTCCGGCTTTAACTATAGTACTTGGAGCCTCCCAGAACGGATGCGTGATGACATTTTGAAGGAAATATGCCGTTTTGTTTTTTCATTTGCCGAGATTTAACACCGAGGTCGAATGTGTCGCTAAAAACCAATATATCAGTTGCTAAAGTTCAAAGCAATGTAATTATTAAATTCAGATCGGATAGCCATTCGACTAAACTACTACTGGGTTAGGGATCAACCGGTCGAATTGTTTTCAAAAACTCGCAGGATGTCAGCATGGTGTCATAATTATTTAATATTTTTAAAAGTTTCAAAAAATATTAAAATCAAGTTTTTGGTTATATTCGACCAATCATACAAAATATTTTAAACATGTTAGATTTGCAATGAAATATACGCCTAGCAATTATAAGTAAAAGTGTAAATTCATGACTAAAATATGCTCATTCTCCAAAATTACTTGAAAAACTAAAATTTCAAAGTCGATTCAAATTCGTTAAGCATCGTTTTTTCACTTGTTCGCTTATTAAATTCAGAATCTCATGTGTAGTGTTTCTGAACAACTCGTTGATCAAGCATATACTCGACCATCTTTTTGTCAAGGCTATCTGGTTATTTACCTTGTTAAGGCTATCTTCTTTAAATTCCCCCGGCTGTAGGTTTCGCCGTCTAAACCACACAAACGGCGTAAGAATTTGACCCATGAAAAATGAGCCAGTAAGGAGAAGAAGCCCAGGTGAAATTCTTTTTTATTTTTTTTGGGTACCTAGCAATTTGACGTTGCTGTCCTGGGCTAAGAGGGCCCAAAAATGCAGTGCTGTGTCCAGTTAGTATTTGTATTGGATATGGCCCATGTGTCTGATAAGGCACGAACAGAGAGAATATGCGCCCCGCCATTGTTTAAAGGGTAAAGTTACACTAAAACCCATGAAATAGTTTACTTTATCCCGCTAACATTTTTCAGTCAAGTACTTCAATTCTACCGTCCAAACATGCTCTAAAAATTTAGACATATTTTTGTTATTTTCCGTTGGTTTTTTTATTTTCTGGTTAAATTCACCTTTTGTTTTGTTTTCCCCCAGTCTCTCCCATTGCCTTTCTATCTTATAGCTTCCCATAAACCAATAAAAAACACTTTGTTTGGATTGGCCATTTTTTTAAAAAATAAATTTTTTAAATACAATACCACAATAATACACAATAACTAAAAAAACATTTCATCCGTACATTATATCAAAGATTTCAAATAAAAATTTTTTATATACACTGTTACAGTAAAATTTTTCAAAAATATTCTTAAAAATGGCTAATCTAAATGGAATATGTGCTTATATCTCATTCAACTTATGCATTTTGAGTTCATCTTGGTCGTATATTCTTTTTTTCTTGTAATATTTTGATATTTCCTACATATTTTACTCTTTGAGTAGTAATCAGATCTTGCAGGCAGGTGATGTGATAGAATGGGGAGTTGCCAAAATTACTAGAATCACAATATAAATTTTTTATTTTTTTTTAATGTCAAAGCAATCAAAAAATTTTTCTAGAGTACCCCAGATGTAATTTCCAAGCTGGATAATCTCAGAAGTTGTAGGCCATGCAGCGACGACCAATAGCTAAAGAGATAAGGTGTCACGTAGGAAAAAGCACCTGTCACTTTTATACATTACTATCAAACCCAAAATATCTTCTCTCTTTGCGATGTATTCATGTGACATATCCTCTACTTCTCCATATAAGTCGCAGCAAGAAAGTAGAAAAACGAGGTAAGAAAGGAGATAAAATCAAGGGATATGAGGATAAAAACTTTGTCAACAAGTTTAAAGAAAGAAGAAATGCGAGTACCTGCAGAGATCAGTGCCAGTAGTGTTACTAGTAGTAGTTCTAATGAAGAAGAGAACCCCAAAAGAGAGAGCAACATCCGCGTCCACGCCAAGAAAGAGACTGATCTTATGGATGAGCTCGACTACTGCACTAATCTCCACAACATCCAAGACGATGATGATGCAGAAAACCTCCAAGTTCAAGAGGAGCAGGATATCGCGTACGGTCAACTTATAAACTACTGGGGTTGTTTGATGCCTCCTGCTTGGGATGGTTTAGTTATCAAAGATGATGAAGAGGCCGGAGATAATGATATTATTGATGGAAGAGAGAACCATTCACGCAGCACGCTTGATGATATGCGGTTTACCATAAAGAAAGAGGCCGAGTGTGGGTTGCTGGAAGATGATGATGACGACGACGACGACGACGACGATGATGATGATGATGAGAAAAAGCTTTCTTTGAATCTGAGCTTAAACTATCAAGAGGTTTTGGATGCATGGTCCGACCGCACACTTTGCGCTGATGAATCTTCTTCAATCTTTGTTTCTGCAAATAATGCCTATGTTAGAGTATTCCATCTCCACCCTTCACTTCTTCTTCTTTTTCTCTTTCTTTCTTTCTTTTTTTTTTCCAATATAATTAAGTTGGCTGCCTAGCCTCGTATTATCATATGTATTGCTGGAAGGATAATATAAAGAATACTGCTACTTTTTCTTTCTTTTGATAAAATTCATTCACATGTTGGAAGCGTAGATGGGAGAGGTGCCGGTGATAGAAGACGAGAGGAGAAGAAGGGAAGCAAGTGTGCTGAGGTACAAAGAAAAACGCCAAACCAGATTGTTCTCCAAGAAGATAAGATATCAAGTTCGGAAGCTGAATGCAGATAAAAGACCAAGATTCAAGGTACAATTACTAGTAGCATATATAGTAGTACTAAATTTTCTCCATCCTTCAGAAATCAAGTGTACTGATTTATAAGTCTGGTCTAACTCCAGACATACTCACCTAACGTTAGAAGAATTTTTTAGAACACTCATCTTTTCATTCTGAATTATCATTTCAGGGCCGTTTTGTGAAAAGGGTAGCCGAGGAGATGCACAAATGATTGCAGAAAAAAAAAATCTCAAAATATCTTACCTAACTCAACTCCTGTCTGTTAGTACTTTTATGTTTGACCGATTCCTTCGATTTGATCTATCAATGTCTTTCAATTACAAGTAGTATATCTCTTTTCTTTTGGAAGGGGCAAGTCTACTGTGCTGTACTATAGAGAAGTCTAGCACCTGCTGAGTTTGCGTCCCAGCTCCTAATAATGCAAAGATTGAGGCATGTCAAACTTTTATCAGCTCATGAGTCGTTATCTCAATTGGGACCTTAAAGTTACCTCTGGAACAGGGGAAAAAAAATAAAAGAAGAGGATGATACTGAGGTCGATCCTGTTTGAATTACAATTTTCTGAAGTTTTTGTATAAAATGTACTGTAACCCTTTTTACACTTCATTTTCATCGTAGCTTGGATTGATTTGCTCATATTGGGTGCTTCAGTTCGAATGAGTTCCATTTTTCACAAAACAGGAAAGGAAATTATACATAGGAGCATAATGAAGAAGACTCATTCAATTTTGGATTGAGTGTCACATATAATAGATATAGATAGATGTTCAAGTAAACGAGCAACTAATGGTAATGGGCTTATTATCGTTAGGAAAAAAAAAAAAATGGTAATGGTAGGGCTGCAAACGAATCGAGCCGTTCGGCGAGCGGCTCGAGTCGAAATCAAACTCAAACTCGAGCTCAAAATATTAAGTTCGTTAGCTCGCGAGCCGGCTCGCAAGCTCGAGTATATATATAATATTTTTTATTTTTTTTATTTTAAGTATATATCTATTTTTATTTTAAGTGTATATTATATTTTTATTTTCTTATTTTAATAGTAAAATTACATATATATCCTTAATATTTTATTATTTATTAAGAAAAAATATTATTTTATTTATTTTTTAAAAAATCAAATAATTATTTTTATTTTTTTCTAGTTCGAGCTTTAAATTGCCGACTCGTCGAGCTCGAGTTCGACTTTGGTAAAATTTAGTCGAGACTCGACTCGATAAGTTCAAAGTTCGACTCGACTTGACTCGTTTGCAACCTGTTAACAGGCAGTCTTTTGCTCTCAACTTTTGGGTTCACACATCATAATATTCCGTTCATTTACTGCATGTGAATTGGAGAAACAGGAAATCTGCCACATTTACATCATGTGTTTCCCAACTTTTGGTATCTTCTTCTGTGCCGGCGAATCTGTTTGGAGCAGATATTTTGGGACTCTTTTCCCTGAAATTGAAAAACGAAAGTAGATATTTTGGTGAGGCTGCTTTCGTTAGTTTCAGCCTATGTGGTCCCGCCAAAAAGATGCAATGCTGCCAGGTCGCTGGGCTGTATGAGGAGCTCTTTCTTTTAATTCCTGACGAAATTGATTGGTCGCGATTTATCCCCTCTAGATTTTTATTTTTCGTTCCTGGGGGAGGAGAGAGGAGGAGAAGGGGGGGGGGGCTGTGGGAGGAGACGAAATTTTCAGGAGAGGGGCTGAGACGCAAAGTCAGGGGTTTCGTATTTGTTGGGGGGGGGAGGGGTGAAACTCAACATGAGCTTAATTTTTAATGTTAACTTAGGAATGAACTCAAGTTAATTGAGCAAACAAAAATTCAGAACACTCCAAATAATTATAAGAGTAAAAAACTCGAGGAGCCACAAAATTATTAGTGTTGTCCACTTTTGGTCATTAATTTATTTTTTTTATCTCTAATTGGCCTCTGAACAATTAAAAATACATAATTTAAGGAATTCTGATCATTTTAGACATAAATCCAGACAGAATAAAAGAATATTTTTGTCCATTATTAATCAAAAGTATCGAGAACTTAACCAAGAGCATCGAGGACAGGAATTGAAGTTCTGAGAAAAGAAAACCCTTCATTTTCCTTAATCTCTTCATTGAATTTCTATATAAATTTTTCAAATTCATTGATTTCATATTTGAGAGGGACATGAAAAATCTAATTAAACGTTGGCCACTCGGTGTGAAATCAATGAATTTAGGAATTTTTTTTAGAGAAATCTGATGAAGAGTTCATGGAAAATGAAGGGTTTTTTTTTTTTTTTTTTTTTTTTTTTTTTTTATCTTTTTGGGGTTTCTACTCCCCTTGATGCTTTTTATTAAGTTCTTAATAATTTTGATTATTGTCGGACAAAAATGCCCTTGGATTCCGGCTGAATTTATGTTTAAAATGGCTAAAAGTTCTTAAACTATACACTTTTAATTGTTTAGGAGTAGGTCGAAAACAAAAATAGATAAGGGGTCAAAAGCGGACAACTATGATAGTTTAGGGATTGCTCAGGTTTTTCACTCAATAATTATTAGTGGCAATATGTTGATTGAGTTTCTGCTCTAGGCATTTCCCTCCATTGAAAATGCTTGGATAATGTTGGCTATTTTTGAAATAGCCATAAGAATCTGAACACTCTTGGATAAGCTATCACCGATTTAACACTTATGTCAATCATCCTTTTTCTTGAAAAAATGAATCAATTTTCTTGTTCACCGTGATCACAAAGATTCTCAAATTTTTAAAAAAGTTTCCAAATAACCTAAAAAGTCAACAGCATAATCAATTATAACTCTTATGTTTCAAAGGTTTCAAAGCCTTTTTTATTTTCAGCTCAAACAGTAGAAAGACTTAATTCTAAGCATTCTAAGGTTCATCTATTGACAAGTTGTCTATACAATCAATATTTATTATCTAGTCTAAAATCAATCTATTAGTTTCCCAATTATTGCAATAGAACAATTTAAATTCACTATATTCAGTAGAAAGAGGTAATTGTCAAAATGGCAACTTATTTGACTAACGAAGAAAGGGTTAATGACTTTTAACCTTAAATTAAAATACAAAACGCATAAAATTAAAGTTTCACCTTTGAAAGGAAAATACACAAAAAAAAAAATGTATAACCAGCAAAACGTAATTCAATTTTTGGTTAACAAGAATATAAAAAAAAAATAAAATAAAAGAATGATCCTATAAGTGCTGCGCTGGAGCCTGTAGCCTTAGGAAGACGAACCGATGAAGAGCACAAGCAAACTTATTGTTACGACAAAAGTTGGGTAGAAATTTGCAAAATGAAAATGAATGCAGAGACTGGTGAGATGTCACGTGGACTTTGGTTTGGTTCTCACATGCCTCACATCTCAGTGGGGGGCAAGCCAATAGAATAGGGGAGACAAGACAACAGGTAACGGTGAGACGCAATAAGTTGTCCGAGACTTGGAGGATCTCAATTTCAATTACTCCATTTAAGGAGACGATTATACTAAGACAAATCAAGTTTGTGAGCTTTATTTGACTGGACTTTGTGGCGAGACTTTAGAGAATGGCCCGATAGGAAATAGGAAAAGTTTATTTGACTGGACTCTGTAAATTAAGTCCGGGTTCTCCGGAAGTGGTGAAGGTGGACCATTGATCTGATTGCATCACTGAAGATTGTCGTGTTTTCTTGCTCTGTTGTCAAAAGGATGATGCGCCAGAAATATACAAAACTGCAAGTAACGTCCATTGATTTGCAAACCTTCTAGAGCAGGTACATTCCCAGAAAGAAGTTGATATTCTGGTTGTATTGGGTGTAATGAATCTTTAGGTTCTTGAAGAGGTGATTTTCGTCCTGCTGGAGTGAGTCGCCCGAGCTGGAGAATTGTCCTCGTCTGGGGCGGGCCACTCGAACCAGGTCACCTGCTTAGGTTAAAGAAAGGAGGGGAATGGATCCCCCGTTGTATTTCCGAAGCTTAAGTCAGTTCGGTATTGAGGAAAGTAAGATAAAAAGAGTAAGGCAGTGTGTTACCGAGAATTGGTCATCCCCCCTCTTAGTAGGGATGTTGAGTATTTATAGGGGAAGATCAGGGAGGAAGCGCCATCACAGGTCCCTAAAGATCTGATACAGTAGGTGTATCTGGTGGACTTGACCGGTCTCTATGACACGACATGATGGGACCTTCGTCAGGTTCAGGCGGCGTGTCAGGAGTCACACCCAACCTGGGTATTGAAGTCGAGTCTCCAGAAATCACCGATATTGACCGAGGTGGTAAGGAGGTGGGATATCGTCCTATGGACAGTGGCCGAAGCGAACGATCCGGAGTGGGCATTTGGAATGCCCGGGCCGAGATCACCATCCTCAATAAGCCCCCCAAGCATTGAGAAGGGCGAGGTCGTTATCATCCGAGGTCGTACCTTCCCGAGGTTGACGAGCGTGTGAAACACGGAACACAGTTGGGACACGTTGATTCTGCGTGGAAGGGACTGTGAAGGAAGTGAAAAGATGTTTGTCAGCTTTAACGTCAGGTCCGTCAGATCAATCGTCAGATGAACAGGATCCTCATTAATGAGGAGAGAGAATAGGCTTCCCGGGAAGTTCGAAGGATGCCGCCTCTTCAGCTTCCCTCTGCTGCCTATAAATAGGGGTCCTTCTTCACCATTTTATTCTTCGCTAAAAATCGAAAATCACTTCAGAGCTCTGTTTCGACGTCACTTCACTTCGGCAGTCATCTCTAAATTGTTCTCAACGATTTCTTCACTTCGCGTTTCCTAAGTAAGTTCACTTCTGTTCTCTGTATTAATGGCTAGGACAGCTCATACCCACAAAGAGACAGTGAGGCCCAACTTCACCGAGGCAGAGAGGCCCGACCCTTCCGAAGAGAGACAGGCATCTGGCACCGGGGAAGGAGGCGCGGAGGTGTCTCACCGAGCTGAGGCTTTGGTGGAACAGGCTGACGAGATCGAAGTTGATCCCGAGGTCCTGTACAACGATGACCTCGGGAATGAAGTTTCTAGGGATACAGGCGTGCAGGATCCTTCCACCCCTCCGAACGTGGCAACGATGAACTATGGTCACATGCCCGCCTTCCGCAGTGCGATGTCGCAAGCTTCTGTAGCCGAGGTGATCCGTAAATACCCCTGGAGAAGGGACTACGGCATTTACGTACCCCAGCCGGATCAACCTGCCGCGCTGCCGCCAAATGGGAGGGTGGCGGTATACGTGGATCAGCTGGAGGCCGGGCTCAGAATGCCCACTACAAGGTTTCTTCGGGATTGTTTGAGGTACTGGGGGTGAGGATCACTCAACTCACTCCGAACGCAATCCGTGTTCTAGTCGGCTTCCAACTGCTTTGCCGACATCAGGAGATCGTGCCCACCGTCAACCTCTTCCGCCGCTGCTATTCACTTAAGAATAGCGGAAGTGAAAAGGGTTGGTTTTACTTCGGAAACAAGGTTCCGAAGTTGGTGTACGATGCTCCGATCTCGATAAAAGAGTGGAAGAGGAACTTCATGTTCGTCCCGGCTGAGGACTTTCCTGGAGGATTCTGGTGGAGGCCTCCCACTTCGGTCAAAGAGACTTCCCCGGGGAAACTGGAAGAACGCAACTTCCAGAAACTGACGGGGTCGGGCCTCAAAATCAACTGCTGGGACTTCCCTGAGAACGTGCTCGTGGAAGGAGGGCTCAGTCGAGCCTTAATCAGCCCGGATCATCCCATCCTGGTCTCCACTAGGCTTCATATACCCCGTACTTTTCCATTTTTCTTTTCTTGTTCATTCTTCTTGAATTCTAACTGACTCTGCTTCACTCTTTGCAGTGACAAGACTTTTCGACCTGATTACTTCGGGAGAAGTCGAGGTGGCGAAGAGGCCATCAAAGAAGCGCAAGGACGCTGCCGAGACCTCTTCCAGGGCGGCCAAGAAGACCGTGGCAACAGCGGCGCACTCGTGAGCCCGCCGTGGTGATAATAGGCGAAGGTTCGCACACCTCGGCACGGTTGGGAGATCCAAGTCATCCATCCGACAGGGATTCCTTCCCGTGGAGTGACTTTGGTTTCTCCACCTCGGGAGAGAGGCCGGGGTGCGACCGTGGTTCAGGATCACCCCATTACGGGGAACTCATTGTTCAACCTCCATCATGTACCCTCTCTCACAGCAGGGGAAGACAAAAGGCACTCCGGGGCACAATTTTGCCCGGAGTGGGAGATTAATGTGAATGACCGCTGCAAGAATCCCCAGATCGCGCACGAGCTCCTGGTGAATTTAGTCTTACCGCGGGACAATACTTACACCAGGAAGCTCGATCCAGCCGAGCTGATGCAAGGAACAGCGGCCTCCTGGGCTGCCACTACGGCGTTCGTCGCCGAAATGTACCAACGCTTCGGGGACTTCATCAGAACCTACGAGTCACCCTCCGAGCTTCAAAAGAAAATTGTTGACCTGGAAGAGAAACTGAAGGCCACCGAACAGGAGCGAGATAAAGCCGAGACGGCAAGGGAGAAAGCCGTGGTTGAGAACAACTCTCTGGTCACCGCGCTTGACGAGGAGAAACAAAGGAGGGCCCAAGAAGAGCAGTCAAACCAGGCGGCAATAAACGCAGCGGGGGTCACCGCCGTGGAGGCGTTCCGGAAGTCGGAGTCCTTCGTCCGTGACCTCGGCGAACTCTCCCGGCCGAGTTTCATGCTAGGCTATCGGCCATCACCGAGGCGACACCCTTCCTCTCCTCCGAGCAGCTGGAGTCCTTTCAGAGCACTTCGCACTACAATGAGGATGCCAAGGAGTTATGTGACCGCATAGCTGAGGGCATTCAGGCTGGAAGGACCTAGCCGAGGTCCGAGCTGAGTTCAACAAATGGCTCCTAGAATCTGAGATGGATGGGGATAGCGCTGAAGGGAGTCAAACCAGTAAAGAGCGCTGAAGGAGGCCAAGTCGGCGAAGGAACCAAGACGCAGCAGGATGCCGAGGCTGGGGGTGGAACTGGAGGGCAAAGTGCCGGGGTAGGGAGTGCTTAGAAGCACTCCTTTTTTGTAATAGAAGGGTCGAGGTCATACATGACCTTGGCCCCCACACTTTTGTACCATAAGCCGGGGTCGCACATGACCTCGGCTTATTGCTTTTTCATACTTCAATAGAATTAGCTTTCCTTATATCTTTTTGCTAATTGAGTTCGGTTTTCTCTTGTTTTTCTTCTTTTGGCTACTGTTTTGTCCCCTTATTTTTTACTTAAGATAAAGGAGAATAAGTGAGAAATAACAATGGAATAAGATTCAACAATACGTACCCCTTCAAGGGAAATACAACTTAAGATTCTCAGCGTGCCAAGTCCGGGGCACCCGCGAGCCATCTCGATAAGTTAATTTACAATATCCATTTTGGCTGGACTCAACAACACGGTAGGGTCCTTCCCACTTGGGATTAAGTTTTCCCTGGGGCTCAGCTCGACTAACGAGTTCTTCCGGAGCACGAGGTCTCTCGGACTGAACCTTAGGCGTTTGACCCGAGCATTGTAATAGCTAGTTAGGATATTTTTATAGGTAGCAACCTTGCCCGCGGCCATATCACGCTTCTCCTCGGCAAGGTCGAGGTTGACTCGCCGCTCCTCTTCGTTGACTTCAGCAGCGTACGCGGCTATCCGGGGACTGGGTGTAATAAACTCGGCCGGAACGACAGCCTCCGATCCATAAGTCAGGGAAAAAGGAGTTTTCTGGGTGGCCGACCTCGGCGTAGTTCGGTATGACCACAGCACGCTAGGAAGCTCTTCCTTCCACGACGATCCAACCCGGTGGAACCTGGTTTTAAGGCCGTGGAGGAGGGTTCGGTTGAAATTTTCGGCTTGTCCGTTAGCTTGGGGGTGTCCCACCGAGGTGAAATGCTGTTTAATTCCGAGATTTTCACACCAGGCCTTGAAAGGATTGTCGGAGAAATGTCGGCCGTTATCCGAGATGACCACCCGGGTAGGCCGAAACGACAAACCACGTTCTTCCAGAAGAATTTTTGGACGGCCGAACCAGTGATATTCTTCAAGGGCTCGACCTCGACCCATTTGGTGAAGTAGTCCATTGCTACCACCACATAGGCATAATTGCCAGGAGCTCTGGGGAATGGACCGATTATGTCAGTCCCCCATTGTTCGAATGGCCATGGCGAGGTAATAGGAATCATTAGATTAGTAGGTTGGTGGTGCTCAGGGGCGTGGTGCTGACAAGAAGGGCAACAGAGAACCATGACCTGGGCATCCACCTTCATGGTGGGCCAGAAGTACTCGAGTAGCAAAACTTTTTTCACGAGCATCCTGAAGCCGACGTGAGCACCACAAAGTCCCTCATGGATGTCTTGAAGAATCCTTTCGCCTTCCTCCGGAGTGATGCACCGCAGCCAGGGGCCAAGATAGGACCTTTTATACAAGAGGCCTTATCGAAGGGTGTACCGAGTTACTTTGCGTTGAAGCTTACGGGACTCGGCTCGGTCTTCGGGGAGCTCACCTCGGCTAAGGAATCAGACTAACGGTCCCATCCAGGTGTCCCCAGGGTAAATGGGGTATACCTCGTCCTCTCTATACCCTGGCTCGGCTAAGACTTCCACGAGAACCGTTTTGTTAAGGTCGGCAAAAGAGGTTGAAGCGAGCCGGGAGAGAGCATCGGCTCTCCTGTTTTGCGACCGCGGGATTCTTTGAATTTCGAAGGACTCAAAGTACGCCACCAGCTGGAGGACCTTGGAGAGGTAACGTTGCATTACCTCCTCCTTGGCCTCGTATTCGCCTAATATTTGGCATACGACGAGTTGAGAATCACTATAGACCAAAATGTGTGTGGCCCCGAGCTTACGAGCTAGCTGTAGTCCGGCGATAACCGCTTCATACTCAGCCTCATTATTTGAGGCTGCGAAGTTAAATCTGAGGGCATACGAGCACACTTCTCCTTAGGGATCTTCGAGGAGCAGCCCGGCCCCACTTCCCCCACTATTGGACGAGCCGTCCACATGTAAGATCCAGCGCTGAGTCTCGGGGGTGGACGGAGTGGGAGCCTGGATAGTAGCCGGGGTGGCCACCTGCACCTGGTCAAAAGTGAGCTCGGCAAGGAAGTCTGCGAGGACCTGAGCTTTAATCGCCTTGCGCGGTTCATAGGATAAGTCGTATTCCCCCAGCTCGATGGCCTACTTGGTGAGGCGCCCAGAGGCCTCCGGTCGTGACAAGACTTGCCGGAGCGGCTGGTCTGTCCTCAAGCAGACGTGGTGAGCCAAGAAGTAGGGCTTGAGCCTTCGAGCTGCGTGAATCAAGGCTAGCACGAGCTTCTCCGCTTGAATATATCTGGTTTCCGGATCTCGGAGAACTCGGCTGACATAATACACAGGTGTTTGGACACCTTCCTCCCTTATGAGCATGGCACTTACCGCTTCGCGGCAGCGGACAGGTACAAGAACAATTTGTCCCCGGAGCGAGGTGAGGTGAGTGTTGGGAGGCGGCAGAGGTATTCCTTTAGCTGCTCAAATGCCTACTGACACTCCTCAGTCCAGGAGAAGTTGTTGGCCTTTTTGAGAACTTTAAAAAATGGCAGGGCCTTAGATGCGGACTGCGATAGGAACCGGTTCAGGGCGGCCAACGGCCCTGTGAGCCGTTGTACATCGTGGACGCACCGAGGTGGGGACATTTCTTGAATTGCCTTCACCTTGTCTGGATTCGCTTCAATCCCTCGTCGGGAGACAAGATAGCCCAGGAACTTTCCCGAAGTGACCCCCAGGACACATTTCTTGGGGTTCAACATCATTCGCGTCTTTCGAAAGACTTCCAGAACTTCTTTCAGGTCGGCAAGAAATGTGGTGGTGGTACGGCTTTTGAGGAGGATATCATCCACGTAGGCCTCGACATTTCGGCCGATCTGAAATTTGAAAGCCTGGTTGACCAAGCGTTGATACGTGGCCCCGGCGTTCTTCAGTCCGAAAGGCATTGTGGTGTAACAGTAGGTGCCTCGATCGGTGTAGAAGGCGGTCTTCTCCTGATCCTCCGGGCTCATTCCGATCTGATGGTACCCCTTAAAGGCATCGAAAAAGCAAAGGACCTCATAGCCCATTGCTGAGTCTACCAAGGTGTCAACCTTGGGTAATGGGTAGCAGTCCTTGGGACAGGCTTTGTTGAGGTCAGTGAAATCAACGCACATTCTCCAAGCCCCGGTATCCTTCTTTACCATGACCGGGTTGGACAGCCAGGTCGGGTATTGGAACTCCCGAATGATTTTGGCAGGGAGAAGCTTGTCCACCTCTTCTCCCACAGCTCGGCTACGCTCGGGGCCGAGGTGCCTTCTTTTTTGTTTGACCGGACGGATCTGGGGGTCGACGTTCAGCTCATGTATCATGAGGTGATGTGGGACCCCCTGGACCTCCTCTGAGTTCCAGGCAAAGACGTCCCGGTAATCTCTGAGAAGATCCAACATTCCCTTCTTGACGAGCCTGGGTAATCGGGTACCAACTCGCACCGTCTAATCGGGCTTCGTGGGGTCCAGAGGGAACTCTTCCACTTCATCCCCAGTCTCTAGCCTTGGTGCCTTCTCAGCCCGCCGAGGATCGATGCTGTCGATCAAGAGGATATTTGACCTTCTCTCGGCCCTCACTTCGGAGGTTGAGGGAGAGGCTGCCTGTAGAGTGGCGAGGTAGCATTCTCGGGCGGCATAGACATCACTGCTGACTTCGGCCACCCCAGCAGGAGTGGGAAACTTGAAACTTAAATGGTAGGTGGAGTACACTGCTCGCAGAGCATTAAGTGTAGGTCGACCCAGGAGTAGATTATAGGGTGAGTCGGCTTTGACTATTACAAAGTTAACGGGGATGGTTCTGCAGCGGGGGTGACGTCCTACGGTCACCGTCAGAGTCACCATCCCTTCGGGGTGCACAATGTGTCCCCTGAACCCTACAAGAGGGGTTCTTACCGGAGTTATGCTCCCCCTGGCCAGCTTGAAGCTCTCAAAAGTGCGCAGGTACATGACGTCTACCGAGCTACCCGGGTCAATGTAGACCTTTTTCACGAGCTAGTTGTTGGTGAGAACTTCAATCACCAGGGCCTCATGACTGCTGGAAGCAGCTGGAACGGGGTCGCTAGACCCGTAGGTGATCACCTCGGCCAGGCGAGAGCTCGACTCGGCCTGCTCCGGATTGGCCTGCCTGTAGGTCCTCTTCCGGGAGTTTTGGCTATCTCCTCCCGTCGGACCTCCGGCGATAGTGTTGATCACCCGGCGAGATTTGGTCCGTAGCTCAACCCCTGACCTGATGATCCGTCTCGGGGAGGCTTTTTGGTCTCCCTAGGATCCTCAGGAGGCCGGCAGCTGCTACGTGAAGTCCGCCGCTCGTCTCGGCGTTGGTCACCTCGTCCGTCACGGCGGTTGTCTCGACGCTGGTCACTTCGGCGGATGAACTGCTTTAAGTGACCTTGCCGGATGAGGTTCTCGATCTCCCTCTTTAGATCTTGACAATCTTTAGTCTCATGCCCGATATCCCGGTGATATAAGCAATAGAGGCTCGAGTTCCTCTTATCGCGGCTACCGTACATCTTGGGAGGTGCCTTCCCGAGATTATGTTGTTCCATTACGGATAGCACCTGGGCCCGGGAAGTATTCAGGGGAGTCAGATCAGACTCAGGGATGGGAGCTTTCCCCTTGGAAATCCTATCGAACACGTTGCGGCGGTCCCGGCCAGGGCTTTGGAAACCACCTCCAGTCTTCACATCAATTCGGCCAGGCTCTTTTCCCCTTCGGGGATCAGCTCTCGGGCGAGCAGTTTGAACTTCCTTCTTCATGCGGTTGAGGTCTTCGGCCTGTATGCCCTTCTCGACCTTCAACCACAGTTCGTGGAGCGTACGGGGGTACTTCTTGTGAATCCCTGTGTTGAACGTTCCGGAGACGAGCCCATGGGTGAAAGCAGCAATCGTGACCTGCTCATTGGGGTCAGGTATTTGCACACTTTCCTCATGGAACCTCTGAACATATGCCGGAAGTGACTCGCCCGGATTCTGCTGCATGTTCAGTAGGTAAGCCGAGGTTCGGGTCGTAGGTCGGGAGGAGATGAACCGATGGAGAAACTTCTCAACCAATCCACCCAGGGTTGAGATGCTCCTAGGTTCTAATCCCCAGAACCATTTTCGAGCTGTCCCCTGAAGGAATACTGGGAAGGCCCGGCATATAACCGGGTCAGGGATGCAGTATAGGCGGAAGGCCGAGATGAAGGCGTGGATGTGATCTTCAGGATCACCTCGGCCATCGTAAGGATGTATTGCAGGGAGCTTGAAGTTGGGGGAAGCCTTTCCTCATTGATGTCGTCGGTGAAAGGAGGGGCCCTCATGTAATTGGCCCCAGGTCCGCCTAATGGCCGAGGTTCGTCCTCAGGCCGCCGCCCTAGGAGACCTCGGGAGAATGCCTTTGTCAGGGAGGCCACTTTAGAGGTAGCCTTAGAGTACGTTCGCTTCGAGGCACTTCGGCTCAAGCGCCTCCCATCCGATTCCTCTTCAGATGAGTCCTCAGGGGATCCATCTGATTTCCTCTTGGAAGATTCGGCCTTTTGTTTGCCTTGCCTCTTGAGGTATCTTCCCAACTCTTCAAAAATGTTGGGATTCTCAGTTACGAACTCGGCCATACGAGTTATGGCTTCTTCGTTCGCGGGCTGAGCCCTCGGGGGCTCCTGCCCTTCAGAAATATTCTCTGGTTGAGCTGCATTGCTTTGCTCAGCCTCTATAGTGAGAGCTTTTCTACTCTTAGAACGCGCAGGCTTCATTTTCTAATGTCTTCGCGTTCCCACAGACGGCGCCAATTGAAGAGGTGATTTTCGTCCTGCTGGAGTGAGTCGCCCGAGCTGGAGAATTGTCCTCGTCTGGGGCGGGCCACTCGAACCAGGTCACCTGCTTAGGTTAAAGAAAGGAGGGGGAATGGATCCCCCGTTGTATCTCCGAAGCTTAAGTCAGTTCGGTATTGAGGGAAGTAAGATAAAAAGAGTAAGGCAGTGTGTTACCGAGAATTGGTCATCCCCCCTCTTAGTAGGGATGTTGAGTATTTATAGGGGAAGATCAGGAGGGAGGAAGCGCCATCACAGGTCCCTAGAGATCTGATACAGTAGGTGTATCTGGTGGATTTGACCGGTCTCTATGACAAGACATGATGGGACCTTCGTCAGGTTCAGGCGGCGTGTCAGGAGTCACACCCAACCTGGGTATTGAAGTCGAGTCTCCAGAAATCACCGATATTGACCGAGGTGATAAGGAGGTGGAATATCGTCCTATGGACAGTGGCCGAAGCGAACGATCCGGAGTGGGCATTTGGAATGCCCGGGCCAAGATCACCATCCTCAGTTCTCATCCCCACACCTGCTTTCCCTTTGCCCTCATGTCCCAAAGCAAAAAAGGTTCTGCTTGCGTCTTCCCTTTTGACTTATTTTCCCACAATACAGTCTCACTATTTAAGAGCCAGTAAGAAAAAATCAACTTTGTTACTTCAGTCAGCATCCGTTGTCATGCGGTGACTCGAACAGCATCAGCTGTTGGAATTCGCATTCCACTTTATTTCGTCAGCAAGGATGTCAAATGCTCCGGGACTCTACCAAACAAATTAGTAATAAAGATTCCCACTATAAAATCTTAGCAAATGGTGTACCATAGGTTATAAGGAATCTGCAGTAATTACGTGCACACTTCATTCTCTGAATTCTTTCTTCTAGTTGGAAAAACTGTCGGTGGACGGATCAATGGATTCATCAGTTAATGGTAACTCAAATTTTAGATTCCGAGTGGTGGCCGTGCCATTTCCCGGAAGAGGCCACATCAACCCAATGATGAACCTCTGCAAAATCATGGCCAACAGAAGACCCAATCACTTTCTCATAACCTTCGTCGTTACTGAAGAATGGCATGGCATCCTTAGCTCCGAACCTCTTCATGCAAACAATATCCGATTTGCCACTATCCCAATGTCATTCCTTCTGAAATAGGCCGAGCCAAAGATTTTACGGGCTTCGTTCTAGCTGTTTTGAACAAGATGGAAGGTCCAGTTGAGCATCTGCTCGATCAGCTGGAGCAGCCGAAGCCGAGTGTGATAATTTGCGATTCATTCTTGAAGTGGGGATTGGGCGTTGCAAACCGGAGGAATATACCCGCAGCTTCGCTTTGGCCCATGTCGACCACGTGTTTCTCGCTTCTTCGTCACTATGAAAGTCTTGTCGAGAATGGGCATCTCCCTTCCAATCCAGTAGGTGTGTTTATCAGTCTGCACTCTGCACTTGCATTGTTTTTTCCCCATTTCGTCTTTGAACAATTTTCATCCCAGTAGCCTGTAGTAGGAATTCGTACTTCAGTCAAAATGAAAGTGGTTAATCAATGATAGCGTAACTCTGTGCTTTGAAAAAAAAAAGAAAATCCTTGCCTAAAAGCTTTAACCACAGTCAGTGACCTTGTTAATATTCTTTGCAATTAAGGAATATGTTATGATGGTTGTTTTCAATGACTTGTCATCAGAAGGGCTCGAATGTTGTCAGTAGTTCATGTTACTTGTACGAATTTGCAGTTTCGAAGTTCTTAGTCTATGAATTGGGGTAATTTCATTGGGTAATAGATTAGGTAATGGATTCAAGCCCTTTATTTATTATGAGGGATCATCAAAGATCTTCTTGAATGAGACTGACTTCTCAAATGTCAATTCATGCTCTGTGGGCGTCGTATAATGAACTAATTTATAATTTTGGGACTTGCCATGGAACCAACTACAGAACAAGGGGATCACAGGGTAACCTGCATTCCGGGAGTCCCGTCTATTCGACTTGCAGATTTTCCTAGGGAACTATTCTTGCATGGTACAAGTCAGACAACGGTCCGTATAGCTCTAGAAGCTGTTGCTCTGGCATCCAAGGCGGAGTACCTCCTATTTAGTTCTGTCTATGAACTGGAATCTCGAGTCATAGATAGTCTCAAGGCCGAATTACCCAATCCCATCTACTCCATAGGTTTGGCAATACCTTCTTTCAATGTGAGAAACGGCAGCAACAATGACCATATTGCTTGGTTAGATGCTCAACCTAGATCCTCCGTATTGTACATTTCCCAGGGGAGCTTTCTATCTGCATCCAATGGGCAGTTGGCTGAAATAATTGCTGGAGTTCATGATAGCGGGATTAGATTCTTCTGGGTAGACCGCCAAGACATTTCTACGTTTCAAGCAAGTGGTGGTGGTACTGGTAATGGAGTAGTTGTGCATTGGTGCGACCAACTGAAAGTGCTGCGCCATCCCTCAATAGGTGGATTCTGGTCTCATTGCGGGTGGAATTCTACTAAAGAAGGTGCATTCGCTGGTCTTCCGATGCTTACTTTCCATTAGCATGGGATCAATACACAAACAGCAAGCAAATTGTGGAAGACTGGAAAATTGGTCGGAGGCTGAAGAGAGATGATGGAGGCCTGGTGAAAAGAGAGGAAATTTCCAGGAGTTTGAAGAGGTTTATGGACTTGGAATGTGATGAAGGGAAAGAAATGAGGAGAAGAGCCCAAGAAATCCGGGAGATATGCCGACGAGCAACCGCAGAAGGTGGTGGATCTTCTGAGCTTGAGATTGAGGCTTTCATCGAGAACATAGCATAACTCAAGAATTCTTAGGACAGGATCAAGGTGATGGATTGCTGTGGGATTAGCCTAGTGCGTAATTTGTATCTTGTTCTTGAATATTAATAAAACTCTTCAAGGCAACAGATGTTTTCGACCTCTTAGTGAAATTATACGACCTCATTCTTCATTTGTACACCCATGCTTTTGCTTGAGTGGATGCACAATTTCAGGAAGTCGTAAAAGAAACAGGCTTTGGAACCAAACTGTTGTGGCCAAAAGGAAAGAAAAAAGAAAAAAAAAATGATACATTCCATCGTCATCCTTGATTTTCATTTGCTCCGGTCATGAGTTCTCCCCTGCCTACGAGCAACTTTGATGGTACTATGTAATGCACCTTCTCGCTCAGTATTG